GTCACGTTTCATTGATGTCGTTACCTACTGTATGCGTAGGATCTGCATTTGTTCCGATCCGTCATTTCATCTCATCCCCTCGCTCCCTTCCACAGGAAACGTATCAGGAAGTATCCAATCGCCTGGGCCTGCATGTAGTCGAATTTGACGAAAATCACGACATGGTGCCAAAAGTGCTAGCCACTCCATCTTCCGGGATCGCTCGCGGTTCTGGTCTTAAAACAGACCCTCTGCTGCGCGCTCGTTCACTACCTGCTGCGCCCAAGTGTGGCCGGACAGCCACTGACTTAGCCTCCCTATACGCTTTTTGGAAGGCTGCGAAAAAACCGCCAGTCCTCGAGATTACTAACCCCGCCTTTCCACCTGGGGTTCACCAGAAGCCCGACCCTGAATACGAGCCCCTGAACGACCTTGTTGATCCGGAGGACGAGGAGGTGGAGGAGTCCGTGCCGCGCCTGCTGGAACGTGGCGAACGCGATTTGGACACTCTGGTCACCCTGAAAGGCCTAGTGCCGAACATAAAGCCCAACACCCCGCCATATTACCTTAACTCACCTGGGGTGTTGAAACGCCGGGCTGAACGCTACCGTTACCGTAATCAAGATTCAGCCCATAGGGAGCGACTAGTCTACGCTGCCCTGGACAAGCAGAACTCTACCTGATCTCCGTACCCCCTCCTCCCCCTCGCCCGTAAGCTTCCCTCGGGATGGAAGGGCAATTGTATACAGCGTTTTCAATTTTTTCCTATTTTGGATCTCTTGCCCCCTTTGTGCCGGCTTGAGGGTCTGCTAGATGCATTTTCAAACTCTTTCGAGGCTATCAAAGCCTGGGGGTACCGAGGCCCAGCAGGCTACCAAGTTGCGTATATGCGATCCTTTGTGCGTCTATTGTAGTCTCCTACATTTCTCTCACGCCGCCACATTCCGGTTTTCAAATATGCAGTCTACGTTAGGAAAACTAGTCAATTTTCTGTAAGCTTCTAGCAACTTACAAAACACCTGATCGGCTCCGGTTAATTTGGCTAGCCACTTTTTCGAGGCGAGTGCTTAAGAGCAGAAACAGCTTGTGTGTATTGTTGTCACTTTACGCGCCTCTTAAGTCCGCCGTTCTGCCTACTCAAGTTGGTGATTGTCACAGTTCAAAATACAGGGAGGTAAGGTTGAGAGGGTGTATTAAGCTTCTGGCAGGCAAAGATGCGGTCGACTGATCGGAAGTCAAGTAAGTTGCATGGGTCTGCCACCGGTGTGGCATCGCACAGGCTAAGCTAGCACGCCGCTGAGACACTGGTCATGTCACCCGGCTAAGTAACGTGACATCCAAAAGCGTCTACAGTGTGAGTGGGTTTTACGACGAAGACTGCATGAAGGTGGTGCGAGAACAGCGGGTTCGGTGCTCATTGCTAATTTTGCGCTGGATGATTGGCCCAGCCCAGCATCGGTTGGCCAAAGTGCGTATTCGTGCCATTCCCTCGTACGTAGCCAGGATGGTGGGATAAAAATAATAATGAGGTAGAAAAAGATTTAACTTTAGTTGGCAAGATTGCCTTGCCGGATCCGGTAAGAAACCAACAGTCTAATGCTGAGCGTTGACGGCTGGCGGAGAATACAGGCACACCGAACATCACACCAAGAAACATGCGACGATACGGGGCTCTGTTCGAAGGATAACAGAAAATCACCGAAAAGTAACGACGAGAAGGGAGTAAACAAAGGCTTGTAAGGCGATGCGTGAGAACAGATTATCCCTTTCTATACTGTCACTAGGAACGACACACTGATTTGTGCTCTTTCTAAGAAATGGCCGATGAAGTTGGCTTTGGAGCCATAATGGCATTTAATTAGATCAGGCCTCTCCTAGGCACACGTGCGGCAGACCATCGCTGGGAGTGCGTCAGGAACTATACTTACTTCTACTTGGCACAGCTAGGCTCACGCCTAATCCAGCCAACCTCTTTTAATGTTGTCGATTGTTTCTTCATGTGTGACGACCCGCGGCAGTGGATCTGGTGAGCTCGACTCATTCTCCTTTAGCGACAGAGACCGGGTACCATAGGTTCCAACAACCGCTTCCACGTCGAAGAACTGTGCCCAGTCAGATTTTGAGTTGGTCTCCAGGCGGACAACGACGGAGGATCGAGGACAGCAGCACTCGAGCTTTTGAGGCGGACAACGTATAATGTGCCCAAACTACCTCAATTCTCTTTACCGAATGGCTTCAGGTATCCTCGCGATGTTCTCGCAGTGAGTGAAACGAAGTCGGAGTACTTCACTTGAAAGATTATCTTCAGGCAGATCCAGTCATCAGAAATTGACCCGTCTCCCCGCACTTGCTCACGAGGTGGGCGCTCCAACCTAGTTGCATGATTCCCGTCCGCTGCATTACATCCGTGTCCGGGATCCGGTCTTACCATCTCAGAATCAGTATTCTTCGAAGGTTAGCTGCGATGGAAATGATTGGATCTTCGTGCCTACTTCTTGTACACCGTTCCGATCTCCCCTCCATCCAGCAGTTTCGGCAGGATGACTGCATTGTAAATCTTCACTTTGGTTCTTATTCGAAAACCGTGTCGATCCAAAACTGTGTTTTGCAGACGGCCGAATGCTTGTCTGGCCTTGGAAATCCGGCGGGCCACTTCAACGTCGATGTTGGTGTTGCGGGGGTGTGCTGCCCAAGTAAGTTATGTCCTCAGCTTGGAGCTGTGAGCCGTTCACGTTTATTTGGGGTGCTTTGTTGGCACCGTCGGGTGGCGGTTGGTGCATAACAGCCGTCTTCTCCGTGTTGATGACCAGGCCGAAGTTCTCGCAGGCGGCGGAGAAGGGATCCATGCTCCTTTGCATGTGCCCTTCGGATGTGGCGTTGAGGGGGCAGTGGTCGGCGGAGAGAAATTCATGAAAGGCAGTTGTTGATACACTGGACTGCATGTGTATCCGCCGATGGCTGAGTTGGTTGTCCGTCCTGTAGGCGATGCGGATCCCGGGGCGTTCGTCCCTGTAGGCGTCCATCAGCATGACAGAGAACATGAGACTGAAGAGTGTAGGCGCGAGGACGCAGCCCTGCTTCATTCCGTTGATCACTGCCAATGCCTCTGAGACAGCTGCAGTGTCCGTGACTCGCGCCATCATGCCATCGTGGAGCTGACACACCATCTGGGTAATTCGCTCAGGACAGCCTAATTTTTGCATGATTTTCCACAGTCCTTCGCGATTCACCGCGTCGAAGTCTTTCGTCAGATCCACGAATGCATCTTCTGACACTTCCCCTGCAGTTGACGGGCGACGAAGACATGTCGGTGGGTCCACGATGACGGCGGAAGCCGCACTGGCTTTCCAGCTCGAGACCCTGTTCCAGATAGTTTTTCAGGCGGTTGAGGAGAATGCGAGCGAAGATCCTCCCGGCGATGTTCAGCAGGGAGGTGCCTCGGTGATTGTCGCAGAGCTGGCGATTACCTTTCCGCTTATAGAGGTGGACGATTGTGGTGTCCTTGAAATCGTGCGGAATCTCTCCTTGACGCCACATCTCCTGGACGAGCGCCATCAGATGATCCACCGTGCTTGTAGATGTCTTCAGGGATCGCGTCCAATCCGGGCGGTTTCTCGCCGGACAGCTGCTGCACGGCTCTGATGGTTTCGTGGAGAGAATGCAGGAGGTCGAGGTCGGCGTTGGCCTCCACTTTAGGCAGACGAGCGATGGCGGCGTCAGAGATGGTGGAGGGGCGGTTGAGGACGCTTTGAGCCTTCTCGCTTAGTAGGATACTGCCGTCGGAGCTGAGAAGAGGAGCAGTTGCTTTGGTCGGCGGACCGTAAACAGCCTTGGTCGCGGAGAAGAAACTCTTCCATTCGTTACGATTTATGTAACCTTGAATCTCCTCAGCTTGGCGAGTCGTCCAAGCGTCCTGCATCTCCTGCAGCCGCTGTTGCACAAGGTTGCTTTATTGTCGTCGGTGAGGCGATTAAGGCAGGCTTTGTGCTGGCAGTTCATCTCGGCGACCAGGTTGCTGATGGCAGCGTCTTTGACATGTAACCAACCTTGATGTTGGCGATGTGCGCGACCGAGGACAGCCAGGGCCGTCGACTGGATTATGTCCCGCAGATGACACCGGCGGTTCTCCACAGAGGCATTCTCCTCGATGGCGGCAGCGGCGACGACGACGACTGGAAGGTTGGCTAGACGTTGAGCTAGCTCGTTACTGAAATGGAGATGGTGAGCAGGCAAAGAAAACAAGGCAATATTCAGATTACTTCGAGGTCTTCCCCAGGCAGTAAGCGAATCAGCATTTTGAAGATGACGAGACAATGGTCGGCCCACGTGTTGGCACCCGGGATCGCCTTTTTCACCAGCACGTTTCGCTGGTCTCGCCTCCGGACGAAGACAGCCCAGCAGGTGCCGGTGTCGCGACCGAGGATGCATTCAGATTGTCCTTTCTCGCATCATGAGATGGAAGCAGGTGTTGATCAGGAGCCGGTGTTCTGCCCAGGTTCGTAGGAGGAGTACGCCATTGTCGTCATAACCGCCTAAATCACGGGGACCCAGCACTCCTCTCCAGGTAGCAGGGTTTGTGCCGACACGGACGTTGAAGTCACTAAGTGCAATCAACTTATCCGCCTTCGGCACAGACGCCAGGAGGGCGTGCAGGTACTCGCTAAATTTGTTCCTTGCAGCGTCAGGTCTGGTCATTGGTGGGAGGAGGGGGTGGGGCTGTAGGCGTTGACGATTGTGGCGAATTTGCCTCCCTGGAGAGGCAGGCGGAGGCTTATCAGGCAAGCATTGATGCTCTGTGGCAGTCAGGGCAGCCGTACCATGATGTCGTTCCGGATGGCAAGGGCGACCGCGTCCCGTCGCTCCGCCTTCAGGCGACCGCGCCAGAGGAAGGTATAGTCGGCACCAACCTCCTCCAGTTGGCCTTGTTCGGAGAACTGGGTTTCGCTTAGGGCAGCGATGTCCCCCTTGTAGCGCGCCAGTTAATGTGCCACTAGCGCCGTCCTCTGTTCCTGTCGGTTGCTCTTAAGATTATCTAGTAGGGGACGAACATTCCAGGCTGCCAGACTGAGCAGACTCACCCTACCAGTCTGACTAGTGGGGCGGCAGGAGAGAGGGGAAGAGAGTGTTGTTTCTTGTTTAGTTGTTTCGACCGCGAGTTTTGCGTCCGCGGGTCGCAGTCAGCGTGCAGACGACATGGTCCCAGCATTTGTTTAGGGCACCTTTTCTAGCCCCTCCCCCCGAGGCAGTGAGCAGTGCTGTTCCTAAACAGGGCTGCCCAGTTGTCCCAGACGGTTGCCGAACTCCACTATGGGCCACGACTTTTAAGTTTAGGGGGAGAACGACCCGTGTCAGCCTGGGCCGCCTACGAGATCGCTGTCGCCCACGACACAGGACTTGAAGCGGGGGGGGATGGGAGAGGGATTGAGAGACGATGTGTAGTGCCTTCCCGTCCCTCTCTAGGCTAACGGGTTGTTGAAATATACACGGTGAGCCGAAAAAGTCAACTTAACGGCAGTAAGTTTACAACAAGGACAAAACAGACAGAGGCAAGCAAACAAGAACAAGCAAAAGGCAAGCACAACAGAGCACTATTCGGCTTACCTAAGGGGATCACTTAGCTGGTGGCCTCCAGCCGAGTTGCGGACGAAGCTTCATCCTCGAGGCGGCAATGCGATAATCCGTCCGGCCAGCGATGGTGCAGGTGGGGCCGAGTTAGCTTGTGTGGAGATGCACACACTGATACCCTCACTTTGCTTAGCCGGCCGGTCGTGAGGGTTACCGCTATGTGGCTCCTAGGCGAACCATAGTTTCGGGAACCAATTGTGAGGGTTGGGTGTCAGTAACTGAACGATTGGCGTAGTCTACACCTGTAAGTAGTTGAACGACCTTCTACGACCGTCACGTGGATTCACAACTGGACACCCCTACACCCTAGATTGACCTCACAGCTACTAGGAAGAACAGTAGATTTCAGCTTGCCAGACAAATGGAGTGTAGGAGGCAAAATAATCTCCAAGTCAAGAACCAGTCTAGCCGGAGGAGCCGCACTCGGATGCTTTGCTGAGGAGATGACGTCGGACCAAGTTGTCAAGAAGCGCACATGCGTACGCACAGCAACCCTTGCGTAGCCCTCTTTTAGTGAAGCCACAAGAGCAAAGGTATCCAAGGTTCAGATGAGTTGAGGAATGTAATAATCGCACCTATGGCAACTCGGCGAGCTCCATAATGTCGGAGGAGCATGCAGCTAGACGGAAGGACTTAGGGCTGAAATTAGTAAGTCTAAGGGATATAGGACATCCTTTCTGTACGCCTTGCGTCCGTCGTCTTCAACTTTACAAAGGACACGCAGACAAAATGTGCTAAACCAGGCGATACCTGAGAAGAACGGTACCTAAGGAAGAATGGTGAAAAATAGTCTGCCCCGGCTGCTGTTGGTTCACGGATCCTCTGGAGATTTCTCTCCATCGTAGTCACATGCAGAGCACAGAAGACACGCTGTGAACGCATAATATCGTTTGAGGAAAGTTTGAGTCATTGGGAATGAAGACAAAATTTCCGCGTGAGTCTGAATTGGCTCCAAAATATGTCAGTATGCACATTTGGCCTGAGACGCTTAAGATTCCTCCACGTGTCAGCAGAGAAAAGGGAGGAATAAGAGGAAAAAGCCAACAGACAGGCCGTTCAGTCTGGCGATCCCCTTTTTCATTAGGACGTCAACATCCTTCAACCTGTCATGTAGGCCTAGTTTCTAGTCCCCTCCTACGCCTTAAAAATCCGAGGTAGGGAAAATGTTTTTTGTCAGGCCTTACTTTAACAGCTTCACGAGAACAACAGATTTCACATTCTTCATTTAAAAATGTTGTAAGGTAGCTTGGACACGATTAGACACTCAATAGCGTAAGAAAAGTGGAAATAATATTCACTATCGGACTCTGAAAAAAGCAAGTATTGTGCGGGAGAGTCGCGAAGTGTAATTTCCCTTTCGGGTTTGGGCACCCGTGCACACGAAGATGTGGAGTAGATTTTTGGGAGGCCCAATAACGCTGAGTGACCTGAACAAGACAGCAGGGCTGTTTTTAACATGAAAAACCTATGGTGGTTAAATAAATGTGAAGAGAAGCGTTGACATGAGTACTGAAGGAAATAGGGTAGTTGAGACCTAAGTGTTAAAGGGCGGAGGTTTGCACGGTCAAAATCGCTGCATAAGAATAGGATGCTCACATAACAGGTCTTCGAGAGAGTCGGAGAGTAGCGCTGACGCAAATCGCAGATAGACAGACTACAGGTACCGACGAATATAGCGCCTTCAGAAGTATTTAACAAACGGGGCTTGCACGTAACAACAGTGCATCTGGCTAGCTAATAGAGTAGAACAAGGGCTCGCAGGTTCCGCAGCGATCCTAATCAGGTCTTAAAGCACACCCTCGAGCCTGAAGCCTTAAGGAAAATACTGAGTTCCCATAACGACTTTACATAGCTCACGTGAAGTCCGCACTATCAGACTGGGAGGGAGTAGCCCGCCGAGGTGGCCAAAGCCTAGACATGGGATCCAGGCCCGGCGGCCTAATTTATTCTGCAGCGTCCCGATCGTGGACACTGGAGGCCGACTCCCAGGGCGAGTCACGGCAGACTGCACCCACGCAACAGTGAATCCCCGCCCACCTCACCGACGGCGCCGAGTTACCGAATCGGCGACCCGACAGCCTCCGAATCTGCGATGACTCCCTACTGGATAGGACTTCCGCGTGGGTGACGGAGGGCGCAACGGGTAGGCCGCTTAGGATAATTCTACAGGTCACGAGGACGCGGTCCATATGCTGGTTGGCATTAACGGACTGTGGAAATCAACCACCAAACACCAACTGTCATGCACCCAATAACACTGGTCTCGGTTGTCAGTACCAAAAGCAGCATTTCCAGCAAGCTGAATGAGTCCCGTCGTCCGCTACGCCTTTACATCGAAGCCGAGATGGTAAGAGATCGGCTTTGTGAAAAACGCTCCACAGAGAACCCAACTACGCACAAATAGACTTCCGCCAGACCACTTAGGTTGCGAGACAGAACTGACCACATTTTGCCTTGCAGCTCCGATCTAGTGGTACCGCATGCGGACGTGGGTAAACCTAAAATCGCGACACCAGCACTTGCTAGTGCTGATGACACCTTCAGATGGATCAACTCTAAAAACCACTCACTGTAAAGTTCTGAACGACTATGTAAGAACTATGTTGGGGCTCGCAAATGAACACCTTGCGGCCTGAGGGAATGCCTTAGTAGTGTTGCATCGAGAGACACTCGTGTCGACACGAAATGAAGGGTATACTTTGGCGATAGGTTGAAAGTATTTTAGCCAATTTAACTACGCTGGAGATTGACAACCCAGCAGGGATTGCAAGAGTATCAGTGCAAGGTGGTGAGGTGAGACTGGGCAACGGACTGAACAGTCGCTTTTAGCAAGCAAAGTCATCGATAGCGAACACTACACATCCATGCAAAACAGTATTAATACCTCAAAAAAGACAATGCAGGTACAGATGACCGTTTGTCAACCTACTTTGCACAATTAGCCCGAGCTTCTTGAAATTGAGAGGAAATAGATTACTGCGGCATCTGAGCCGAGTGAACAAGTTAAGCGGAGGTAAACATGATGGTTTCATGTTAAAAAAGGTATAATTAATTCACATATTTTACAGTGGGAAAATCTGACGCCAAAGTAGCGCCAGCAAATTACAGACTCATAATCGCAAAAACGTGCACAAAACCACCGACGGTCTAGCTAGTAATGCGGGCGAGGGTAATAGCTGGACCGCCACTGGCTGCCACCAGTTCTACTGTCGGTGTTGTAATAATTCCCACTTGATTGCGGTTGCCATTGCGCTGATGACGTATCTGAAAGTTGGAAAAGTGCGAAGTTGAGGAGCAAATCTTGGCTGAGGAACAGAGTTAAGACATAAGGAGAAAACGACATGCGTGTCTTGTCATCTTAAGAGGGGTGCAGGTAATAATTTCTGCGTTGGAAACATGACCCTATAGTCGAGGCCAGCTGTGAACCAGAATGCACGCCCAGTGATTCTGTCCGCTGACTTTTACCATTGGTTTCCTGACATTTCGACTGTGACCGATGATGTCCATCGTGCGCTCCACAGCAGAGTGAGAGCAGGCACGGTGACTTGTGAATGATTTCTTTTATAATGATGGGCTTGCGCAGCATCTACTGCACTCTCCTTCCCACATGGGCTCGGTGCCAAGACATTCAAGAAGGCTGGAAGCGGGAGGGGGCAGGTGGCTGGCACGACCGGCCGTACAACCACACCGCCTGGTCTACAACAAACACTTGGCCAGGATTTTAACCAAAAAAATAACGGCTGGTTCGGTCGAAGCTGCCACTAGACGTGCCGCCATACCCGGCTTGGATACCATCATGTGGGGATCTCATAGAGGCGACATTAAGGAGCTATTGCAGCCTGACTCTGACCACCAGTCCGCCAACGCACATAAGCACACATTGGGCTGACTGCGGGGTTCAAGTTATCCCGTTAGTTGACAATCTTCCAAGTTATAGCTTATGGCGCACCATGAGAGCTTCAAGCGCGTCAGAGTGCTTTTGGTGGGGGAAATGCGCCGGTTATCAACCTCAACCTCAGGCCCCAGTTACGGATCACCTAGTCTACTTTTAGCTACTAGATGGAGAACTTGAAACTGCATACTTGCTTCCCTACAATATTTGGTGTAGTGCACATGAAAGTCAAAAACGCCTTCCATGAAGCTCGATAGGTCAGCAATGTCGTTGGTGCCAGCCGTCTTGATCCGTCGCTAATTGATGAGGTGTTGGCGAAGACCGCTGCCGTTGAGTTTTGACATTTTTTTCAAGCCCAAATAAGCCGTCTCGTTTTTTCAAGTTTACGGGGAAATGTGCTACTCGGAGTCACGTAGTTCAGATCGGTGGTGTATGAGAGCGGACGAAATACTAATGCAAATCGGTAAAATCGCCAAAAGTGGTTCCAAGTTTATATGGATGACTACTAAAATTGAGTTAAAATTGTGACTGCGAATGGATAACCGCTAATGTCACTGAAATGGGAATCAGACCGGTTACCTTCCAACTCACGTTCTAGAATGCTTGAGTCGAACAATAGCTGGCTGGGTTGATATCTTTTGGTAAACTAATTCTTAGTGATCGCCTTCGTCTAGACGACCAGTACATTGCCTACTCGACGACGTGGAGTGCGCAGCACCAGATTTGCTACGCTGCCTTTTAAAACCTCGCAAGTGCGTCCTCGAGAAATGCACTTGTCAACTACTTTTGCAAGGCGTCAGTTTTGCGGAAAATCTCTAGGAGCGAAAATATGCAGTCTTGTGTGGTGATCATTAAGGTTAGGGCGGGGTTACAGTGCAGGCAGGTTTGTAAGAACAGCATACCTGAGCGATGTCCATAATCAATCACCCTGGAGAAGGACCTTGAAGTGCTTCGCTGAGATTGCAGTGGACTTCTCGTCCGATTGTAGTCCTGATCCAAACCGCTTCCGTTGTTTTTATGTCCATAGATCTCTGAACTGTAGGAAGCCCGATCAGATGCTGCCGTCGAGGATATATAATCAGAGCTTGAGTTTATCCCGCGGTGCCATGAAGGCGGGCTTGGATCACGTCGGCTCTGTGAGTGACGACGGACTGGGGAGACTGGTGACCGAGAACGCGAACGGTCGGCGTAACTCTGACGGCTGCTACCGATATTGCCCTGGCTGGAGATCCGCCTACACGAGGAAAAACAATGGGTCGCTGAACGTTACAAAGAAGCCTAGGTCCCACTTACGTCGCTAATGTGAGCCTGCAAGCGGCTTTTGGGCTTATTTGAGGACTGTGAATTTTATGTGATACCAACTCGCCTACAGACCTACTATGACTGACAGCGACACCTTACATGGTTACGTGGTAGAAACACAAACAAGGACAGCTCTAATGTGGTTAATAAGGGTATTAACCGTTCATCGCGCGATTCTAATCGGCGATTTAGTACGCGATCCTTAATGAGGTCAGCGGGTTGACATGTTACCGTCCGTGTGGCCGTAAAACAGTCTCGAACTAACCGAAGGAGACTGGCGAACGTAAAGCTCCGTAAAATAGGGTATCCTCCGATGTATAGGGCAGGCAGCGATGTTTGTAGGCTTCAACTATAGTCTCATTTATTTACATGTTACGCGGTATCCATAACAGCCTGTTAAAGGGGGGTTTTGAGTACGATTAGACGTGGCCACGTAGGTAGGCCTCAATTTCGATGTAACAAAACCAGTCCCGAGTGTCAAGATTTAACGAGCGTCCGTGCTTTGATAAATATAACTTCGATTTATCATATCTTCCTTCCTATAAGGTATTTGTAGTTTAAAATAATTGTCGGAGAAGGCGCCTGCGCGTTGCCCACCACTTAAAAATAACTAACAAAATCAAAGAGAAATAGCCGAACCTCCACTACGCCGCAACCCTGCGATGTAAGCGCACCATCTTCCTCAACTGCTGTTAGCGTCGGACAAGATAGTTATCAATAACATGCGAAAAGGAACCCAAATCAAGCCGAATCGTTACATATTTTTTCGTAAGACATTCTCTTTGCGAAGAGTGAAGGAAATCCGTTTTAATTAAAAACAACTTACTAGAAACTGGTCGGCTATTATAGCCCTGAACGTATCTTCCAAATATCCTCCGAAACGGGAATACAAATATTTGCATATGCGCAATTAAAAAAGTTTGCAAGTTGAAAGAATTAGACATACCAACCACGACGCTCTCCCGAACGGCGCATGTCGTTGGACTGGGAGACGTTAGGGTATGCGTAAGCGTCATACGGTGGTCGTTCGGTCTTATAATTGGTATAGCCAGGATGACTGTTTCGGGTCGTAGATTCGTAGCGCAATTGGGAGGCGGTTGAATCTCTCTCAGAGGACCGGCCTCGACGATCTGTACAGACATAATTTTCCGGGTGCATTCTGGAGGAGTGGTATGAGGAAGAGGCTGGGTGTCGAAACTGCGAAGTATGACCAGTAGGTTCTTGACGTGGAGAAATCCGAGACGGAGAAGAGCGGGAGGTCAGTTTTGTGAAGACTGGTGACGAACGCCGAAAGTAATTGCTCCCGTGTCTTGTGCTAACTTCTGTGCGCCTTGAATCTTCCGACGGCCTAGCGCCGGGGGAGTAATTCCGGAAATGGCCGCTGCTAGTACTGTTTGCAGGCCATTTTTGCATAAGTCTTGTGGGGGTTCTTTCTCGCGCTCTATGTGGAGAAAGTTGGCGACTAGTGCTAGAGTACCTCGGAACAGAATAATCCATTCTGACCTTCGGAGACGGCCGGGATTCACTTGGTGAATGTCGTACCGGATAACCTTCTGGGCAAAGGTGTCTGGACGGTGTCTGGAAGAGATATTTCGAACAATCAGGAAGAGTCATTAGGTTCTTTAGAAGTTAGCGCGACCTAAAATAGCGAAGGTCAGTTATATGTGCGTAATAGTTAACAAGCCTAAAACCAAAGCACCATTAACGCTATTATCCATTCCGATAGTTTATAGCGGAAATTGGCAGAAACAATTAAACCCACAAGCCCCATCAAAAAGATTGAAGGAATGAAATCGCGAAATCCAGATACCATGAATCGAGTCCCAGATCTAGCCACAGACGAATCCCGAGTTATTATTGTCAAGCTCTCTCCATGGTTGACAGCTTCCATATCCAAAGTGCGGTTAATCCGGTACAGATGCAGTTGATGGCGAAGTGTACCAGGCGAAATTATTGTTTTCTTCTGGGGAAAAATCAAGAACAATCAGCAGCGATCTAAGCTGCTAGGCAGGAGTCGAGAACTCCGGATATTTGCGGGTGGACTCGGTTTATAGCAACTGACTTAAAAAGTAACAGCAGAAGGCGTTTTGCCATATCCCAAAACTGCTGGTTATCGGGGTATGCTGATGGAGTTGCCTCTGTGAAGACAAGGCCCATGCAGTAGCGACCAAATTGCATAAGACAACACCTAACGAAACAGCTTCCGGTGTGTGCAAAACTCAGATAAGTTAACTGATTCTTAATAATACACTGGATGACTCACTGTTGGAGTTCGTGGCCTGGGTGATTGAACGGGACGTCGTAGGTACTCCAGACCTCGGGAAGTTGTAGACGCCACTGATCTTGACAAGTATCGCGAGACTCGGTTAACAGTCCGCGTGGGATGTGCTGTCACATAAGGTCGATAGTAACGCCTTGTTGAGTCCAGTGGCGCTCCAGGTCTTCGAGATAACATCGATAAGTAAGGCGCTATGTTTGACGAGTTGAACCGGTCAAATACCCAAGAACATACCTCCACGAAAGCGCCGCCTCACCACATGTTTTCTAACATCCTTAGCGGAATTTGAATTACTTGCTGATTTTGAAACGGTTTTTGAAGAAAGCGGCTCCTTGTCCGTAACTTCCACCTTGATCACTGTCCCGTTGAATTCAGTGCCGTCAAGATTTAGTATACAGCTTGCTGCATCCTCACCTGAGGCCATTTTTAGAAATCCAAAACAACCTCGTGAACGTGTGCTGGCCAAGATTTTGGCAGACAGAACCTGTACTTTGATTTGTGACGACTATAGGTGGCTAACCTTGCCATGCGCGCTAAAGTGTTGCTTCAAATCCGCGGCTTTGGTAGACTTCGCTAGGTTGCTGACGCGTAAATTCGACAGGTCTGCAACACTGTGACAATCAAGATACCACCCTACCCTTCACCTGCTGTACTGCATTATCGCTAAAAGAGAAAGAACGCTCATCAGTTGCGTTTTAGGAAGCAGACGCGCTCATTCGGCACAGTGAAGAGGACGAACCTGTCCTTTGTGAGGATATCTTTTCCGACTTTCCCTTGCTCGGTACATGTTTCGGCTTCCTTTGATATCACACACTCGCTCTTGAGATCATAGTCCAAATCTTCCTCCGGTTCTTCGATGTGTACAACGTAGGGATCAGAGTCACCCGTCTCTTTCCTCGTTGTAACAGAAAATTCTTCAGATACGACCTCCTCTGCTTTCGAGTTTTCCGGAGTCGACTCGCTTGCCTGGTCTTCTGCTTTGGAAACAGAAATCGGATGCAACAAGTTATAATATTCGCAAACTTCCGGACCACCTAATTCTCTATATTATATAAAAAAGCAAGACCTGTTTCAGAAAGGTCACAGTATGACACTGTTCAATTTCCTGGAAGAGGCGGACGAATAGGTTACGGTTGAGGAACCCAGTTCGGCTCGGAACGACTTCAGTGCCAACACGAGTAAGTTCAATTCCCAAACGGACCTGTTCGACAGTCCAAAATCTCCACTCAACACACCGAAACGGGACGACACAATACAGGCAGGCTCTGAAATTGCGATTGCGCCGGGCTCATTCACTGTTGTCGCGTCTACTTGACGAATTACTAAGCCGTCAATCTTGAAAATCTCACGGATGCATGAGGCACAACTAAGTATGTCTTCAAAACGGACAAACAGGGCAGTAAAGCCTGGTGAGTGAATATGAACTAGGGTACGGCTATTTTAAGCTTAATAGCCGTGACAGAGCAGGCGCGATGAGTTGTCAGGACGACGTTACGCCAAAGCGCCCATGCTGTGGCCTACTTAGGTCATAAGAGCCCCCGCCAAAAGAAAAAAACACTAAGTTACTGACTTAAACTTAGTGGAGTTGTTATAGTCTGCACAAAACTAGAAGCTATGATTGGAAGTTTAAAACCTGTCCAACCTTTCCCTGGGAAAATGACCGGCTTTATCTGGCCATAAAATCTCCGCTAGAAGTTGGACTGCAAATCCATACAGGCAGTGAACAGAATCCTGCAAGACTGGAATTTTATGGGAACTACGATACTCTGATAGCATTCTACTCGCCCAGGGCTAGCCCGGTCGCGGGCTAGTGTTGCGATTGACTGGATTTTTCAGCAATCCTAGCGGACACTGCCCACACGGGGACAGTAGGTTGACGCGTCTTCTCCGGCCAGCTGAGGGCGTTGTAGCCCAAGGCGACTTAGGTCGCCACAGGGGCCGAAATTCCGGACAAAGTGCGTGCGTGTACCCTGCATGCGTGCGTATGCACAAAGGGACCCCCAGGCGTGACGTGAAAAATGCACTCGGGTGAGCATCAACGAGGGGGTGTAGCAGAAAAGCTTCTTTCTTCGCGCAGGTCGAGCACTCTCAGTCTGTCAGGTTTTGAGCCCTGCACTAGCCCCCAAGTCAAACGCGCTATAAAATGTCTAGCCCTGGGCGACTAAATGCTATCAGAGTAGGCCCCGGAAAAGGAAAAGTCCCAACAATGCGGAGAAATATAAGAGCCACGACTTACCGTGAACGCCAGATTTTTCGGCATCCACCTACAACACCCAATGATCATTTAAAAAAAACGTGACCAACCAGTGGCACTTCGGCTGGCGGCAAGGCTGCCTCCACTCCACTGAACGTGTAAGCTGATGGATCTTTTCCCTCAGATATGAGAGCCTAAAGATGTACAATAAACGGCCAGATTACCTCTTTTAATCGTTCAATAAGCACTTGTTTAACTCCGCTCTTATCCAAGTCCCTCTTCTCGAGCTCTCCCCGCAGCTCGGCCACCTTAAGATCCCCCAGTACCTTACCGTCCATTATCAAAAAGACGAGCACCTATTCAAACAAGACGATTGCAGTCGGACCTTCAGTTGAGCAAATTTATTAAGCCCTTAATGGAACAGATTTCTATAGTTTCGTGAATCTTTTAGCGCTGATAATGAGAAAATATCAACGACCTTGCGCTCGAACAAAGCAATCAGGGGAACATGAAGGGCATTGGTTGGTGGGTAAGGGGTGCAAAGGGTAAACAGAGTAGTGAGAAAAGACCGTCATCAGAGGACATAACGAACGGATAATGCCGCGATTCGTCAACCGTTACCTTAGACGTGACCGCACCATTTGTAGTTCAAGAGGAGTGTTAAAAACTGTTATATGTGTACTGAGATCGCCGTTTTAAATGACCGTTTATCTTCCATCACTTACATCTTACTGAGCATCGCAGTGATAGTTGTGTACTCTTATCAGTGTGCGATAAAAATAAAGGTCCAGCATTTCCGGAAGAAATTGCTGCTGCGGAATTTATGTTAAAGAAAGATGGATACATTAAAAGTCACCGAAACGGGCTCCATGTCTTAGTCAAGTCTTTGAGTATTATTTGCTCGAAACTGTACTACCTAGGCGGAATAATGTCGCGCTGCAACGGGATCTACGACAAAGTGGTCAACTGGACCTCCAACGCCAGATAAACCTTCGGCCTGCTGTAGAAGACCTTGTGGAATCACCAAAGCCTCCATCTAAATACCAAACTGCATTCGTCCTGACGACATTTCTCTGCGAATCGGAGAGATGGACCGTGTTTTCCGGCCATGCCAAGAAGCTCAATCAATTCCATCTCAGTTGCCTTCGCAGAATATTAAAGTTGCGATGACAAGACAAATTCTCCGACACGGAAGTTCTAGAATGGACCAGACTCCTGAGCACCCACGCCATTCTGAGGCAACTACAACTACGTTGGAGTGGTCATCTCCTGGGGATGGAGGATATGCGTCAACTGAAGCAACTCATCAATAGTGATGTCGCCACCTGCGCTCATTGACGGGGACGAACAAAATGACGCTACTAGGACATATTGAAGAATTCTCTTTGGCAATTGCATATCAATCCATAAGCATGAGAGGACCTCACCCCGAGCAGACCGGCCTGGAGAAGAGAAGAAAGACTGGTTCTGCCATCTTCGAAACAAAGCGGATCGCCGCCACCAAAGCCAAACCGGGGTCTCGAAAATCACAACTGCCTCGCCACTTCACAGACAGCCAGCACGTCCGCACTGCCAACGCACATTGCGCGCTCGAATCTGTCTCATTGGACAGCTTCGGACCCAATGCGCCAACAGCATGACAGAGTCTACTTCTTCTCCCATTCTTGCCCCTTCCGCAAACCCCGCACCGACCGCGACTCTCGCGTAACTGCCGATCACACTTCCACTGCCCCTCCGCCACCATCCACCGACACCATCTGCCCTGACCCAAAACCCTGCGGCGATCGCAGGGGCCAGCTTCAAAACTCATGTTGTCTTTAGTTTATGTCTGTGGTCTCGAAGATATGTTGTTTGTGCTAGCTCAAAAAATGGGCAAATTTAAGTGCGCAGTCTACTCGTGTGATAAGTTTTAAGACCATGATCATGTCTCCTCTGCAGTCCCTACAAGAGGAAGGAAAAGTCTGAGCCATTCTCGTAGTTACTCATTAAGTAGGCGCTTCAGCACACGTACTAATTTAGTCGCCCTTCGTTGCACCTTCTCCAACAGAATGTAGTCTTGCCCCATCCGGGGACTCCATGCCTGATTACCATATTCCAAAATTCGCCGGGCAAATGTTCCACCTAGTCGACCGAGAGGCTTTCTGTTACAATTAGGCAAGGGTCTTCACATCGCCCCAGGATACACATAGCCTTATTTGCTATCTTGGCGCAAAGAGACGAGAGTTTGAGAGTGGACTTCATCCACACACCAAGGTCCTTTACCTTATTTGCAAGTTCGAGTTCGTGACCTCCGCGGAAATACTTAATTTAGACCCCAAATCCTTTCTGTAACTAGACCTTCGTTTGATGAATTGGCATCTGTCATAACACTACTGTTACAGTTGATGTAATTTGTTTTGCAAGTTTAACACTTCCTTTGGTTTTTCAGTCGAATTCCATAACTTCAGATCATCAGCGAACATTACCTTCCCACAGGTCAGGCAATCTAGACAACCGTCCACATATATGAAGAAAAAAATGGGACCAAGAAGACTCCCCTGCGGGACTTGGCTGTGAACGATTTCCACTCCGATTTGGCGACACCAATTCACACCCGCCGACGTCGGCCTGTGATAATGTCTGTAAACTACTTGAGGAGGTTGCCAGTGACACACATATGGCGTAGTTTAGATATGAGCCGTCTATGTGGCACCCTGTCGAAGGCTATGCTGAGGTCAATGTAAACTGCATCTACTGAAAAAAACCCATCCCTAAGGATTTCGTCCAGATTTGCACGGATATGAGCAGGTTAATCAGACAGGATCGATTACTCTAAATCCATATTGATGCTCACTAAGCAAGCTGTTCTCCTCAATATGTCTCATCAGCTCCAATTTTACTATTTTCTGCATTATTTCGCCAAAAATGCCTGCGAGACTCACTGATATTAAGCTATTTGGCGAGGTACTTTCTCCCGCTTTGTGAAAAAGGCAACAAACAAAAGAAGAAAATGTTCATAACGGAAGGAATCAAGATGGGAAGCAAAGACTACGGGACCTATGTACAAGAGGAACTGGCGGTATTCCGCGGCCTTCCAGAATTCCAGACAATCAAGAGGTCTGCACTTGCGTGAAAATTCAGCAGGCAAACATTGACTGCACTGTTTTATGGAGGCATTAATTGTGACGGACTGTTTCCCCATAGCCAGCCGCCACATATGCAGGAGCTGCCGCATGACACCAAGACACACAAGGTGCATATAGTCAATTGGAAAGGTGGCTATTATATCAATAGGCAAGTCCTCGAAAGGTGAGGTGCCTTTGTGGTTCTGCTCCTGACTTCTCATGCGGAATGACCTGTCATCCCGCAGACGCCCGCTGTGTACGGGGAACGTCATGTGGTTTGCCACGGGCCTTCCCATATGACAACACCTAGGAGGATTACATTTGCGTCCATTATGTCAATTACCTGTCGCAGCGCTTTTACTTTCCGGACGTAGGACCGAACAGGCGTGTCGCTGATGACGTTGGCGAGCTCAACTCTAACTACGTAATCCGTATCCGGGACCTGGAGTCCGCTGGTCAGAATATCCTTCAGTTCTGATAATAATAATGATAATAATAATTATTATTATCCGAAATTCGAAACTTCTTCGATGTGAACGGGGCGACCCACGTCAAAATACATTTTCGTATAATTCGGCGATGCCCAGCGTACAAAGTTAAAACTAAAAAGTGACTGCCATTCCCTGTTTTCTGCATTCCTAATATGCAGTATGCCGTGATGTCAGTGCCTGATGAAAGTTGGCTGCATTGGTGACTGTTCTTCATGCCGCATGCACAATTTGGTAACTTTTCCTTAGTTTACAAATTCTGCCTGTTTGTCCTCTCACCGGAGCTGCCTCTTAATCCTCATTTTTTCCGGACTCTTTTGTTGTCTCTACTATTACACTTATTGCACTCTCCGAGAGTCATGCATTCCCCAATTGCTCTGAATCTAAGCTCTTGTTTTAGGATTTTTCGAAGTATTTTAATGCGCAGCTTTAGCTTCATCATTATGCAATCCTTCATCGAGAAACAGATGAACTTCGAGTTTATATGACCCTCTGAAACCATCCACACTTTATCTCTGCCTGACTAATTCGTTGCTGCCCCTACCTTGTGCTTGCTTCTCCTCCAATACCTCCCTTTCCAAGTTTCTGACAAACGCAGTACGGTGTGTATACAGGTACAGGCGAAATACTTCTCTCACAAATAGTCGAACTGTGGGATAAGAAAGTTGACATTTGAAAATCTTGGAACTGCCAAACTTGAACCTAAGCCCAAGCTCCTAACTGCCGCATTTTACGGAATTGGGCGATGGAGGTCACGGAGAAGATCGTTCGGAAGCTTGACAAGATGATGAAACGAAATGCAATTGTATTCTTGATTGCCTCTTATCCTATTTTTCTGTTATTTAGGATAGTGAACTGACATTAAAGTATCTGCATCGGCTCCAAGAAACTGATATGACTCTAGATATATTGACGAAGACGGGAATTGGAATCATCATCAACAAAATAAGAAAGGAGACCGATAATTCGGAAGTGACATCACTAGGAAAGCAACTCATAAAGGAGTGGAAGAAATTAGTTCCAGGTAGGCATTAAAATTCCCATGAACTTAGATTGTCCTCCAATCATTATCTGTCTAATTTTGAGTAGAAACGCGTCCACTTGAATTTTTTCGCGTCTTGTTACTCATCCTCGTATGTTAGTAACTCGTTAGCTGGGGAGCCACTAGTAGTGTTGACACATCCCTTCAGCAAAACAGCCACGTACGCAAATAAATATTTTTCTTATTCTGCAGGCTAATATTAATTGCTGTTTCTTTCGTTCTACGCAGTTTTTTTCAGGAATTTGTGTAAACAGCTTCGCGCTTTACGCATAAGCTTTGCCAATGCGTTTTGCCCGAGATAGGCGAAGGGTTTCTTTTGTTCTTTGTATTCCAGATCCGTCATAATTTGTTGAACAGATGTTCTGTTCTAAATCTTTGCTTGGATCCCATCAAGTTATTTCCGGTTTTCTCAATGAGAACACTGATTTTGGTTCAAAAAAGTCGTAAAAAGCAAAAGTGCTAGATTCCTTTTAAACCATTTCCCATCTGAAACTAACTCTAGTTCCCCAGATTTTCAGTCGCATGATACACTCACCACCCTCACTAACTGTACCCCTGCGATTAATTAGGAACATATAAGCCAGTACGCGAACTCTCATGTTGTGCGACTGGGTGAATTTTCCTCCTCCTTTGAGCACATCCTCCCTTCCCCTGATAGAGTAGGCCTGAAGGGGATCTGGTGACACCAGCCTCCTATACAGCAGCACGTGATAGATCGACAAAACACCGGAATAGGATTTAAACTGAATTATTCCATAAAACATTGTTGCGACCCTGGTGTCCATGTGTATCCACGCGCTTATTCATCATCCTCTACCCAGGTTACTTTTGGTGATTCACCGTTCCAATCGGCACCTTTACCGCTACTTGCGCCTACAGGCGATCATTCTCTGGTCTTTGTGAACACGTTTTAGACAGAAGTTTCCGGCACAGTTTGTGATTGAAGCAGTTGCTAAGGGAGATTTTGTTTCTACATTGTAT